CTCACATTCAGAGTTCAGGGGCTTTGGTCCAGTTTCTTAACTCTTGGCATGAGACTTAATAGTAATATTAAGAAAATGGAGTAATAGCAGCAAAACCTGATATTCTTTTTGTGTCCTCCTGGGGTTACACAAACTCCAGAAGGCCTTGGAGTATGGCTTGACAGCAGGACAATTTATATAGTGAAGCGTCGTAAGTGATGTTCCCCAGAATCTGATTGGGAAATAAATAGTAATATGCTTACTCCATATTTGCTTAGCTGCCAGACATGACAGTCATTCCTTCTCAGAGTATAAGTGATGTCTGCATTGCCAGGCACAGCAGGCTAATAATATTCTATGGAAAGCAAAGTTTCTGAATTTCATTAACCGTATCTGATTTTATTCATGTCTTTTGTTTTTCTAGTGCATTGGTAATAGCTTAAACTGCATCCTGGTATTTCAAAGTTTTGATATGTGCTGTGAGAATCCAAAGAAAAATGCATAAGCAATGTAATAAGAATCAGTCCAAAGACAAGAAGTAGGAATAGGAGTAATTTTTCAACTCTAATGGAAAATGAACACAGTGGAGCTTTGCTAATAACTTGTACATAGATGTACTATAATAAAGGAAAAAAACGAAAAGCCCACACTGAGCACATAGGTATTATGGTTATTTTACAAGATGTCAGGTTAACAAAGAAGATTTCAATACTTTGGATAGTAAAGATTAGTGTAAATATTGTCATTTTAATTTCTAATAGTATACAGTACAATGATCATATAACTAATATGAATAGCTAAAGATAAGTAAAAAGCTTTTGCTCCTTAAGAAAATATGCTTTCCATACAGCATAATTTAGGAGTCTGATTCCCATTCATTATATTGGCAGAGTAAATGGTTCAGGCACTAAAATGTTTAAATCAGTTGTAGGAAAGACTTTTTTAAACAGTTTTAATCTCTAGGCATTTAGAAGCTAAATATTTAAGCAGCCACTAGACCTAATGTTTGAATTTTTAACTACTATTAAACTTCAAAAGACAAAATTACAAGCTCCAGTCATAAACTTGAGCCTGTGGTACATCCTAAACTCAAGTCCATGGTGTTGAAGTTTCTGTACAAACTGCAAAGAATCAGCAAACAATGTAAGTATTTAAATTCTTCCTAAAGAGTAGGTGTTACAAAAAAAAAGTTTCATGTAGTTCTAATGAAATGTATTTAAATAGGGAAAATAACAAAGTATAAAATAATATACTTGTTATGATTATGACATAGTCGTCCAAACCACTCTACAGAATCAGCATTATAATATGTCTGTCTCCATTATTAGTTTATTCTGGTTTTATATCTCATCACTTTTCTTCCCCCAGCAACATGGAAATAGGGAAGAGTTCTCATCTCACATTAGCTAAAATTTAAATCCAAGCTAATAAAACCCCAGAAATTCAGACAAACTTTACTATTCAGTAAAAATGTCTGTGTAAAGAAAAAGTTGCAATAAAATAATGGATGTGATTTAATCTGTTAAAAAAATATCTGATACAAAGTAACTGTTAAGGAAACGAATTGAATTCCCAGATTAGTGAAATGGGGGACACAACTGGCAATGTAGAAATTGGGTGGCTCGCTTGGTCGGAGTCACCTGTGTGATGCTACTGCAGCTGATTTTGAATCTGTGCTGGTGCAATTTACCTCCCTTCTATGAGTTCCAGACTTTCTTGAAGGTGATTGGAGTGAATGAAAGTTTATTAGCTGTAAGAGACAAGCCATAGAGCTTCTGTTAAAACTCATTATGGGACCTGGGACATCACCTTGAAGCACATGAGGCTCTGCAGTAGTGGAGCGGGGGGCTTTTTGCCCTGTCTGGATTAAGTGGAAGAGAGAGAAAATTATTTGATTCCTTGAGATTGTGAAGGACACAGGAGCAAGAAGGTAGATGAGCTCTTTTCAGTGAGCAGAAAGAGGAGCAGTCAAGCCAGTTTGTGTAGGTTGGAAGGTATGTCCAGTAAGGAGGCGTTAGACTCGGACATAACACCTGGGAGTAACACTCAGTGTTAATGACGATGAGCCAGAGAAACCCATTTTGACTTTAGTTCTCAGGGTGAATTGGAAGAAAGTCCAATTTTTAGAAAAGAATCATCTTTTTACTTGTAAACTGAGCAAATTTCGTTTGGGCATAATTGAGACACAATAATTATAGAACCTCACAATGCCTTTTTTTTTTTTTTTTTCAATCACTGTTCACAGAGAACTGCACTTAAAAAAAACTAAAAGAAATTATTTTTCCCAAGCCGTGAACATAGTTTTTTCATGGTTCCATAGCAAAAGTTCCCTGCCAATTTATCAAACCCTGGGGAAAAAACAGAGATGGAACTCTAACAAGCACTCTCACTATGAACTGTGATTGTAACATAGCAAAAAAAGTGACATTGTTTTTTTATAATTGCTTAGATCAATGATTTCAGAGTGCTCTTAGGAAGTCGAGAAAATGGCTGCATGAAGGAGGCCTATGATGGTTGTACAGCTGGGCTTATGATGGTTGTACAGCTGTGGGCTGTGGTCCTACAGGCGTGTTTTCTGTAAGCTGTTACTAGCAATCAAGTGAGATGCTAACTTTAGGAGTGTATTATTATGATGAAATTTAAATTAAAAAATAAACGCTCTCATGAATTTCAATACACCAAACATGCAACTCCCCCAACTGCATGCATCCATAATTTTACAGTATTTTCTTTCGAGGTACTGGTCCTCAGACAGTGAATTATGTGTATGGTGGTGAGAGCCTGCATCTGCTCACGCTCACCTCGGGCTGGAAGCGCTGGCAGGAAACCCTGTGGGGCTCAGTGAGGCCGTGGAGCTCCCACCTTAGCAGACAGTCTGATTGAAAAAACGTTATATGCAATCTCAGCACCTGCTTCTTCCTTGAGAAGCAGTATATTTTTCACATATCTCTTTAAAATATGAGTAAGAGTGTTCATGGGGTTTGAGTTTTTACTGGTGAATATTTTGTTTAATAGTTTTTCATTTTTTCGAAGTATATTCGAATTGCTTTATGTGAAATACACAGATGTGCTCTTTTGTAATTGCAGTTACAATGTCCGCAATGTTACAGAAATGACCATAGGTTTTTTTATCCAAAAAAAAAAATATTAGTTCATATTGCCAGGTATTTATATTTCTAATTTTCAAATGCAACTTTTTAAAGTCAGAACTGCTGCTTTTCTTTTAAGCTGCTGCTATAAAAAGAGTTCCAGAACTTATTTCACAGAAACTATAAAGTCATTCAAGGCAATGAAAGATCTTGCTTTTTTTAACCTTTCAGAAAGTCACTCAGTTGAGCAGTCAGGCCGTATTATTCTATATCTTGTCTAACATGAGGAAACAGTCCCAAAAGAAAGATATCCCAAATTAACGCCACACTTTGTTAAATAGAGACATTCTTGGTTTTCACCAACCTAATTCGATGCAGTTCAGTTAACTCATTTTTTTTGCACTCAGATCACAAAAGGCAGCCATGAATTGCAGCAGCAAGTTCATCATGTGTTTGACACATCAGTGTGAAACTAAAAGGCGGGCTGTGAGGGAGGGTTCCTGCCTTTAGCTTTTTAGACAATACCCGATGAAAGAGGCCCCTCATTCAAAACTGGTCTCCAGCAAACTAGGCAGACTGCTGTGGATCCCTGTTACAAACAGGTATAATGGGAATTAGCCAGAACTTGATTCATCAGACACCACTTGATTTCTAGTTGTGCCTATTTATGTAATCCAATCTTCATCTAATATCCTCAGTCCAGCAGATGGTTCACGGGACTTCGGTATGAGCAAAAGACTGCCTACTTTGGAAATGAAAAAAAATGTACAGAATAAAAAAAATGTAAAAAATTAATTTTGGAACGCAAACCAAAATCTTTTACAGAAAAAAATTGGGTTTTCCGTTTTACGTAATTTACATTTGTAAATTATGTCCCTTCCACTTTTACACCATGAAATACATGGCTTATAAATTCCGATAACAGTGTGATGAACAGTCACAAAATAAATATTCCTTACTTTAAGCTACCTTTAAAATAAAAAAGTGTAAACATATTTTTGTAACTTTCTGCATTATTCTCAGTCAACAAGCATCACCCTTGACAGCCAGTACATGCAATCTAACTAAATAATAGATTCTGTGATGTGAAAGAATGATGTCTGTTATAACGCTACCAAGTAAATAGTACCTGTGAGCCATATCCAAATTCTGAACGCATTTTCAGAGAGTTAGTTTTCTCTCCTAACTTGCTGTAGCAAGTACTTAAGAACATAGCAGCACTGATCTTTGAAGATATTTGCTAATAATTACATCAACCTGACAGACCAGTGGACCGTTTCTTAGGCCTGACACTTTGACAATGGCTGCTTTTATCAATATCGACTGTGCTTTTGTAGTTGAGGAAGAAAAAAAAATCTCAACACAACATCATCATGAAATAGCTTTGCTTTCTGGATATGTGGGATAATCACTAGGTTTGCAAAATAATGGATTATTTACTCAATTTTAAGTACAAAACAAATGTTGCTGACAGAAGATGGCTTTTCAGCTCTGACTTAAGCTGGTGATCTCACTGGAATTTCTAAAGGATCTTTCTCCTCTAGCAGCTGCCATGAAAGCTGGGGATACATGTTAGTCTTCAGGGTTTTGTTGCTGTTTTTTAACAATCTCATCCCAGGGACCTGTTTCCAGAATAGTTCATTTTAAATGCTCAAGGTAAGTCTAGACACAAGGAGAGCTAGGGAAGCCCAATCCATAATATCATTTCTTGCGTTTCTTAGTTATTTACTCAAAATTTGTGACAAAAAGAATATGAAAATTTCCCTTAACTTTGAATATTTTCTTACTTTTCCTAAGTTCAACAAATCAAGAAAATAAATCGTATTAAATATTTTATAGTTATATACCCAATTCAGTAGTGTCTTATAGTAGATGTTTTGGTCAGATAAGTATGCACTGCTAATATTTGGGGTTTTGGTTTTTTTCTCACAGTTTTAACGTGAATCCTTCTGGCAATGAGGACCCCAGGAAAACAATGGTGAGTTATGAAGTGATACAGAAAGCCATTGGTAAATGCCAACTATTTGGTGCTTGACACAATATAAGCTATTATTCTTGTTTAACCACTTATAAGGAAATGTTGGGTTTTTTTCTGTTTTTCTTTTGACATATCCAGAAAATCTAATTAGAAAATTACAGGCTTAATATAAATTTGGAAATAAGGGAGTGTTTTACACTCAATATGCAGTGTAGTTCTGGTAGGATGATGTGGAGAAGAAGGGAAAAAAAGAGACCTCTTCACAGAAAGGGAAAAGCCTGTTGCTTCGGGGTATTTCAGGTGACTCTAGAGAAGCGATGGTCAGGTGAGGAACTCTGCGGTAGGCAGTGATGTATTAGTTGACCTAACAGGAGTTTTCTATCGCTATAGTCAGAGACTTGAGAACAGTCTTTAGACGGTCAAGCAAAATGGGAGTAATGAACTGATACATGACAAGGTTACTAACACAAATAAATGAACAGCCTCCCATAAAACACTTAAAATAGGAATACTAGTAATTATTGTTAAAAATACTCTAAAAGTAAATATAATAAAATGTGTACTAAGAAAAGACAAAAAAATCCCCAGATTTCCTATGCACTGTCTTTGTTTGAAGGAAAATGTGGTCGTAGTAGAATTTGTTCTGTGAATAGATGAAATCTTTAAAAGTGGGTTTGTTTTCAGTCTTTAAAATATATAGAAAACAGTTTTCACAAGCAAATATGACTGTGTACTGTTTGGTTTTTGCTGGTTTATGTAAATGACTTGTAATAACATTTGATGTTATTGTCAATGCCCAAGTTTTTATAATTTAAGTAACTGGTGGGAGATGTCAGAGTACATGAAGGCTGCCTTTGATCAGATAGTAAACTGAATTCTACCAAGCGGTTACTTAATCTCTGACAAAAAGCGACATCAAAAAAGTTGACTTAACTTAGCAGCTATTGTCTGTAAAGTAACCATAATTACAGTTTCTATGTGCTTGCAAATGTACTACCGCAAATCATGTAATTTATTGCTGGTAAAAGCATCTGTTTAATTCTGTTAAGAAAAAGATGTGAATTGGTTTATTTAAAGGATTTAAAGGTGATAAAAGAAATCCTTGATGATTTTTCTTTTGGAATACCAGCTATCCTAAATGTCAGCTGTAGGATTATGAGGTAGTGCTCATTTAATAAAAAATACAAATTAGGAGGAGAAGAAACTATATCTCAACCATAGTTTTGAATGAAACCATTTGATTTTTTTTTTTAAATATTCAAGATTGCTTTCTAAGGTGTTTGAAGTAATTTATTATTAGGTTCTGCAATAATAGCCCTCACCGAGTTATTATATTTCTTCCTTGTGCATCACATTTAGTAATTATGTTTGTATGTCTTCTACTCTGGTGCCAACACCTGTCTCTGAAAGCAGCGTTTAAATGGGAGCGGTAGCCAGCTGAAGGGGCAGTGTGAGCTCTTTAAGTCCTAATTAAGAACTGTAAGGAAGATGAAGTAGGTAGGACAAAAGATGTGAAAGTAGCTTAGATGATATTCCCAGAGCAGAATTACTCATTAGAACAATAAAGAGATGATCAGAGATTGCCAGGCCTTCGTTTTATCTAACTTCATTTCCTCTGGCTGTCAGTGTGTACCCCTATGGTATTTAGTAGCCAGGACAATCATTCTTTGCATAGCTTGTTATTTAGAATATTTTTTTCTTAATAATTCATTATAAGATTAATGTTTTGTATTAAAATTGTAGTATCTGTTTTTGTAAAGATACAGTTGTTCCTTATACATTTAAGTATCACTTGCTCAGACTTAACATTTAAAATCTTAACTTTAATGTCCTTAAACATTTAAGTATCACTTATTTGCTGAAACCAAACATTAAAATATTCTCAAGCTTTAGCAATATTTATTTCTAGGTACTAACATCCTTTAACTAGAATTTTCTTGTGTAATTAATGCGATAGGTTATTCCTCCAAAGATCTGTATGGAGCACGTCTATGACAAAACATCTTTAAAGCATATGTATTACACACAATTTTCCAGTAAACTTTAAAGACATCATTGCATCTGCATTCCTGTTCCTTTGCCAAGTCAGATAATTAGGCGAACCCTATATTTTAGACATGGAAGTGCTAATGGTGTCTTTTCCAACGTGTACAAAAATTTAGTACCATAAAGAGAAAATTTTACTTCCTTCTTGTAGAAGAAAATGTGCTAAAAATATAATGACCACAAAGTGAAGTTATTTTCTCTTCTGTACTTTTTGGAAATCAATTACTAACCAATTTATAAATTTCATCAAGTTAGTCATTTTAATGAAGTGGGAGTTATTGATCACATACAATCTTGTAACTTGATAAGTTTAAAATACTGAATGCATGTACATAAACGTGACTTTAAATATCTCAAATGTAGTGAGAAACCCTTAAAAGCACCTATTTTCTAGAGCTACTATTAGAATATAATTGATGGAGAGAGGCTGATTGATCTGTCCTGCTTTTTGCTTACTATTTGCAGTGCACCATCACTTTTAATTAGGTTTATTTGAAAACTTTGGCCACCTGCATATTTTAATGATTTGACATATGCCAGTGTGCAAATATGGAGCTGCATGGAAAGAAAAGTAATGGAGCATGGAAAATGAATGAATATAACTTTATTATGTGGTGTGTTTCCTATCTGTGCAAGCTTTATCATTTTTAATGACAGCTGTCTGCTGTAAACAAAAGCTAGCTTGTGTTCTTCTTCTGTCCCGCTGGAGGTGCAGGATTTGAGAGGTTAGATTGTTTTACTCAATTAGAGGTCCCATATCTTTTAAACGTCTTCATTTCTGAATCAGATAAAAGTTACCGCGTAGCATGTCTTGGCAGTGCTAATAATTTTATAAACCAACTCTCGCAATCTTTTTCTGTTACGAATTTCCAAATTTTTCATAATCTGGTTATTTACGGTCACAGCTAATTCATTTTGGCACAGAGTAAGACATTGAAATATATACTATTTTGGATCCCATGTTGCCCTTTGTTAAGGGGACTAATTTGTCTATCTCTGCTAATACCTGCACTTACTGAATTGTCAGAAATCATTACAGAAACAATTATGCTTTCCCCGCTGCTTAATTCTGGGCCCCTCCTGCTTTAAAGCAAGCAGGCAGGCAAGCAAGATCTTTTAGTAGTACATATTTCTGTCTTAAGAGCTCTGGTGCAAATAAGATGCAGCCTTTTAACTTCACCTCAGATTTAAAATGAAAAGTTTTATTATATGATTCACAGGCCAAGGCCCGGAGAACCGCTGATGACTAAAAATAGCATAGGAAAGACAGATGAGGGCTGATGTCATTTAAAGCTAAATAAATGTTATGCTATGATACGCTCAAAAAGCGAGAACTTAGGAAAGTTACAAGTCGGGCTTGAATTCTCAGGGCTCTTGTTCTTCTGTAATTAAGGTTACCACATAGTTTGTTTCCCCAAATGGACCTGTTGACTATTCTTGTGGTTACTGCTCGTACAGTCATTAACTGTGCATGCATCTCACTGAGAACAATGTTTTTTTCTGAGATGACAGTGTGGGAAACTTATTTCAAACTGGACAACCTATCTCCACTTGTCTGCTCCAATGGGGGTATTGGAGGGAAAAGCTCTAGAGCAAACGGAGGTATGTGGTCTAAGAGACGTTGCTCCTGTCAAGAGGCACGCGTGAGAAACATGAAAAGCGGTAACCCATCAATTTGTTCAGAACACTGAACTATTTAATAAAATCTGATGGTTTTTTTTAAACTTATCTGTAGGATGGAAATCCTTTTGATGCCACTGCAGGATACCGCAGTCTTACTTATGAAGAGGTTTTACAGGAGCTGGTGAAACATAAAGAGCAACTTAAGAAGAAGGACACCCATATTCGTGAACTTGAGGATTACATTGATAATCTTCTTGTACGAGTAATGGAAGAAACACCGAGTATTCTCAGAGTGCCATATGAACCTTCTCGAAAAGCTGGCAAATTTTCCAAAAGCTAAGATAGTGATATTTCATGGTACTTTCTGCTGAATATATTAGTGGAAGGAAATCACACTTTAACATTTTGACTTCTCTTCATCCCTTTTCTCTTAAGAAATTCCAGGAATCAGGGGAGGATGGGGCTATGGCGTGGGGTTTTTTTGTTTGTTTTTTACTCCAAACACTAGCAGGGACTGCCAAAAGTAATATTCTGTTAGATTACCTAAATAACTTTTTTTTTTTCTTTTTGAAAACATCTTTAGGTACAGAATATTTACAGTAGAGTTAATAATACACATTAAATATGTCCATGCAGTAATAGCTTAGTGTTCACCATGTGGCAGTTTCAACTGGGAAGCCTGTGCTGTTTTCTTGAATGATTATTGATATTATGCAAATATATCAATTCTGGTAGTACAGCATGCCATCAAAACCACTGTTTTCAAGCCAGTGTAGTACGCTTTACTGAACCTAAGTGTGGTTTGTTGCAATGGAATGTAGTTTGTTCTACACATATTAGAGGAAAACAGTGATGCACAATCTTTGCAGAGTAAATGCTGTATTCTGTACATTGTGCTTTTTATATAACAATGTAAAAAATACCCTGCCATTTCAGCAATGGCACATGCTGGAATCAGTTATTTTACACTTAAATGCTGAATTTTGTGTATAATGACTGAACTTTGGTAGTGAGCTCATGACATAAGGTTGTTTTGAGGAACTTTTTGTATGAAGTTATTGCATGCTTTTTTATACGTTAAAGTATTTGAACAATGTTAATAGAGTCGGAGGTAGGACTGGAGAAAAGTATGGAATAAAGATACAAATACTTTGTTCAGTCAAAGTCTACTACAGTGAAAATGTAGGAGAAATGAACAGACTGACTTAAATAGAAATGATAATTCAAAAAATAGAGAACTGACTCAATTTAAAGGTTGAGTTTTACATGGTATATATCTGGTTTAGGTTTTTTAAATCTTATGACAATGAAGTATATGCCTTTACAAATAGGCTATGCTGCTTAAACACATATAGAGTACTTAGAAAGGCTTTTCATTAAAAAAAAATCTGCATTCCTTGTAAGTATTTCTAAAAGTCAGTTTTCATTGAGGAAAATGAAAGAAGAATGTAGTAAATGTCTTCCTGATCATTTAATAGTTGTTTGTAAAATGACATATGAAAAAGATATCTGTTATTCAATAAATTGGCAAAATATAGAGTGATGAACATATAATGGGAAAATACTGTAGGAGAAGAATCCTCACAATATTGACATAAATAGGTTTTGATTTTAATTTCCTTCTTAAGATCCTCAGTTGGATTGTCTGCTGCTGTGAAACAGTAAAATGATATTAAAAAGAAGTACAGAGAATATTTTAGATTTGGATTTAAGAAAACTGACTGTCTTCTCCTCTTCCTCCTCTCCTTATTTTCTATACCTGATTGTTTCTTTTTTTACGGCATCATGTAATGGTGATTGCTGAGGAGGAAAAAAAGCTTAAAATTAAATTCCATTTTTTTGTTGTTGTTGTAAAAGATCTAAATATGTTTTCCTTTTTAAACATGCAAAAATTAGAAATATCTTGAATAATTATGACCTGGAAAAGTTGAAGAATGCTTTTGGCAATGTTAGTATTGTATGACAGCACAGAATTATTCTTGTTGGAAAAAATACTTATTTGTACAGTTGTTCTCAGATTTCATTTACTTATTTTTGGCTTTTTCTTCTTTTTTTTTTTTTTTCTTTCTTCCCTTTATTTTCTTCTTTTTTTTTAGCAACTACCTCCCATCCCCCTAGCGCTGTGTCCCTAAAATGTATGCAGTTTGAGCGTTCCCAACGCACTGTTGGGATCCATTAGCGTAGATCATTGTACCTGGATGGAGCCCAAGTGATTCAAGCCCTGCCTAGTGCTCTGCATTTAGATGTGTGTAGCACAGAAATGGGCCCACTTCATCAGGTAGTCTCTCCTTTGACAACCTAAGGATTTATCAGGTTTGGTACCTCATAAACCATGTGAATGTTCTTTTGACCCACTTAAGATCTAAATGACTGTAAATTTTTTGTAATATATTCAAAGTGCCAAAGGTTATGTACTAAGTTATGGTACGTTTACTGTTGGAAGTTAGGTTTTGCACTCAGATTTTAATTTCCTAATTACACCAAGATGTATTTCAGTTACTCAGTATTTCCATAAAAGTTCTTAAACATTTTCGAATGTTTGGCCGAAGCAAGTGGTTTTCTCATATTGTTAATGGGGAAGCATTGTGCAATTGTTTTGAATTCCACAGTCATTTTCAAACTAACTGGTATGAGACCATCTGTAGTATCTACAATGATTAAATCATACACACTAATGGGGTTTAGAGAGTAAACTAACCAGAGAATATGCTCCGATGACTTTTCACATGCAAGCCAACTTACAATTATTAAAATGAAACTCTACTATATTTAGCACCTCTGAAATCACTTCTTTTAGAATGTAAATGTAGAATATCAAACTGCATAATTGACTAAAAGCAGATCATTTGACATATTTGCATACCAAGAACGATAAGCAGATTAAAGGTAGCGAAAAGATCAATTTTTGTGCATTAGTGAAGAAATTTAGTGAAGCTTTGAATGTGCTATCTAGTCTTTATCTGATCTATAAGTGAATAAAAGCACCTTTTGTTTCTAACAGTTTGTCAAGAAAGAGGGGAGAGGGACAACAGCAGTTTAGGAAAAGGTAAGGTTACTAAGAGAGGCAGAATGAGACATGTACAACTATGGAAATAGTTCTTATAGCTAAAAATATGGGCTGCTTTTAAAGCAGTTCTGGAAAGATTACGTGCACGTCATTTTCTGCTTAGAAAGAAAATTTTAACATCTTTCTGTATTTTGAAATTTTTGAAAAGCATCTTCACCACACATTTATTTTTGAACCACGCAGCTTTCGAATGAAAACATTTCATACGGAGTAATTTTTACGTTGAAAAAAAAAGAAAATTCTGTTTCTCCCATAGGATATAATTGTAAACTTTCTTGCAGATCATTTTAAAACCCTAACAACTTACCACTTATGTTCAGTCTTTCTTGTCCTTTAAAATGTAGGGATGAAAATTTTGGACATCTCCACATTATTTTGGTTGTTCCTCTCAAAAATTAGCATAAGACTTCATCCATGCACACACTATTCTTTGAAATTATCATTGAAACAGCTCTGTTCATAGCCATGTACTTTACTTAAAGAACAAATATCAAGACCATACTTTAATGTTGTAAGTAACAAATTTAAACTTTCTGCTATTCAAGAAGGATCTTATTTATATATGTTACCTCTTGCTGCTGTATTTTATGTTTAGCTTGGTTTTCCACCTGTTAATGAATGTAGTATTCTCCCTAGATTATACATAACTACATTTATTGCTGTTGGCTCTGTATCAAGAACTATTTGTAATTTTCCAGCTGTGAAAATGTTGCCTTGCATTTAGAAAGGTTTCATGATTTGGGAACCTAATGAAACTCATGCTCATTAGGTGCTGGTCTGCAATTCTTTCCGTACAGGATGCCCTTTCTTAGACGCATCTTGAAACAAACACAACTGCTGTCTTAATATGTTTACTGCTGCACTGGAGGTTTAGTTATACTTCCAGCTTTAAAGAAAAATTATTGTCCTACATAGAGTACGTAAAGTAAGCTCATGGCTTTTTGCTCTTTATGTATCCGTTACTGCTGTAGATATGATAGAGGCGTCAGCTGTGGGCTTTTAAAGTGGTGATATTTAAAGCTTGTTGACTAACTTCCTCTCTTTGAAGTACGTGGTGAAGGATTATAGCGCTGCTGTGTTGATGATGCTAGATTTAAGGGTCTGTCAGCACTTTCGGTATTGAAACCCTATTTTCAGGGATTTATAACTTCTAAATGTAGATACAGTCACTGGAAGTGTTTAATATGCAATAGGTAGCACTTTAATCTGTTTATGAAGGATTTTGAGATTTGTTTCTGTTGAAAAAGTCATGGTCTTCTAAAGCATGGTGGGCATTTGCTTTATCTTTCATAACGCGTACTTTGAAGAAGCCACTGTATGTTACAAATGGTAGAGCCATTCCTATTCATCTTAGAAGCTTCCAGATGTCTTGTATTACAATGTACTATGAAAAGCTGAAGATCCAGGTTATATAGGAAGTCTGTAAAAGATACAAACATTACTTACAACTTAAGGGTTGATTTTGTCTTGTGCAATCAGTGGTAGTTTCGTCTACATTTAATAATGGTACAGAATCACAACTATATGCACATGTGAGAACTATAAACTTAGAATGCATGAAAAACTTAATTTTTGTTTCATTATTGCCACATCAACTCCTTTAATTTGATTAAAATGTTATGTTAATATTTTAATTTTCTGTTCATTAAATAAATATTGCATGTCTAACACTAATAAAGCACCACGATGCACTACCACAGTATTTCTTGAATTGTGATTTGACTCTGTGCTATGCAAAGCATGTAACTCCTAAGCTCTGCTTAAGTATGTAAGAACCATGCTGTTAAGCCTCGCAGGCCGCAGAGAGGTGTATTTCCTTAAGGACAGCTCTAAATGAATATCACAGCTGTTTGCAGGGTAGCCATTAAGGGAAATCTCTTCAGTACTGTCCAATATTTATAATTAGTGAAAAAAATGGCATGTTCTCAAATGTGCTAATGCATATGTCTTTTTTTATATGACAGCTGCAATCTCTTTAAATGCACCGTTCCTCTGGTTCTGTGGTTGTGTAAATCCTACTAGGAGATCTTTGATACTGCAGGCCAGAGCTGCATTTAGCAGGAGGACAAACACTGTGCAAATTTCCATATGGAGAACATGATGCATATTTCTCTTCATGCTTGACAGAATAAAACCCAGCCAGAACCACAGAAAACTGGAGCATTCTCCCCCACCTCTGTGCCCCATAGGTATTTTGGAAAATGCTTCCACAAGGTTTTCAACGTGCTTTTCTCAGAAAGAAAAAATGTTTTTGCCTGTCATCTTCTCCTCTTCCTTCAGGCAGCAAGACAGCAAAGTCTGTCCCCTGACAATAGTAGGTTTTCTGGATGCTAAGGAGATATGAAGAGTGGTCCTGGCTCAGGAGAAGAATGTTGTGAGTACTTCAGTTCCTTGGAGGCTTGAATTTCTCTGGGAAGCAATTCCATTCCTTGCAGTTACCTTGCTCCATGACTAGGTCCTTCATCGTACAACTATGGACTTAAGAGGTTTAGAAAGGGTCTTCTCTTTGAGGTATCCATGAAATGTGGTGGTTATGGGAAATCAGAGTCAGTTTTTGAGATGTACATGTACTTGCACCTGCCTTGTTACGCAGGTTTCCATCAGCTGTTTCACCCCATGTTTCACTGACTTTGCAACTGTCCCGGTGGGTGAGTAGATGAGGAATGAGGACAGAGGAGGAAGGCAGGTTTTTGAAAGCACCATGCTGCATGTTAAATACCAGTTTCTATCTGTAATTCACGTCTGGTAAATAATCTCAGTTCCTACGCCCATTTGAAAATTGAGCCAGCGCAATTCCCTCCCTCAGAGGCTTAATGTTTGTTAGTTGATACCAACCACAACTACTGACAATCAAGCCCAGCTTGATTAAATAGCTTCCAGTTTCCCCAGCATGGAGTTGGTTTTGAGTTTTCATTGTTCGACGTCTCAACCCCCTAATAAAGGTTTTCAAGGGTATTTTAAATGTAGTTTAGCAGTTAAAGAGCTATTGAAATATTTAGATGTACACTAGGATGATCATTAAGGACAATTCTCCAGTTACATTTATTAAAGTTAATTCTTTATGGAACCATATGGAGTAAAAATCAGGATTTCATTTCCATATTTTAAGTTGTTTAATTTGCTTTTATGAGAGTCTTGTGCAAGCTTTGGCTGCAGCTCACTTGGGATATGTTGCCATTTTGTGTAACACTGGGCACATTAGTGAAGTTATAAATAAAGATGATGAAAGACAAATCCTGTCTCTTATTCTGCATTAATAAATTAGATGTTGGATTGTTTTGTGGGATTATTTTGTAATAGTGCCATTTTATGAGAGATAGGAATAAGCCTATCTGTTAAAGGAAGCTGTTTTCTCTTGCCAGTGGTGTTTACTGAGCAATGATGATAGCAGGCTACCACACTGCATACAGCCCGATTTGAGAACCATCTGGTATTGTCTGTGTAATGTTTATATAAATATCAGTATATTCAGTGCTGGAAGCCAATGGCTATTACATGGACATTATTGCAATGTATTTATAATGTGTTTTTACAGCATTTAGCAACATAAATCAGTCTTTGATAAATGGATGGTGATTTAGGACAGATATGTACTCTCCGTGGCTAAATACTGACATGTTTGTGCTTTAAAAGCGAACAGTTTAAAAAGGTTTTGGGGACATGCAGCATTTAAATGAGGCCAAATATTAAAAAGGAGGAAAACGTCCTGGGATGGTCTTTTGTTTCAGCCTTAACAGTATCTGCTGTGTGACACAGAGGGAATGAGCAAAAGCTGCACTGGGCAGATTCCACTGTTGGGACCCAGCAAAAATTTAGTAGGACTAGGATTCAGATTTTAAGGGATCTGTTTGCCCAGTATGTACCAGGTTCTTTTTGTAACAGGGCAAGTTAACGCTGCATCCTTCGCTAGCAGGCTCAGTGTAAGGTTAAAAAGCCCCCAAAAAAGTGGGAGTTGAACAGAAGGATTAGTTCCCGAGGTATTAGGTGCGAGGCAGGCATCAGGCAGAAGCACAAGGCTTTAGCCAGCTGTCGCCTCTGCTGGTTTAGTCCCTCTGACATTGCAGTATTAACTTTAAGGATTAAATGAACCACTTTCCTATGAGTGTTAGGAAGTGGCTGAGGAAATCAGGTGTGTGCAGCACGTGGCTGGCCAGATTGCCTCTTGTTACTTGAAGTAGGTGTCTGGCTCAGGGTCTCGTGGAGTCCCACAAATAAACCACAAAAATGTGTCATATCGCCTCCTTCTCTAAATGATTCATTCAGGGCCTTCTTAGGTGATTAATGTCTCCTTCTCCGATAACTTGCTGCTTACATTATGAATTCCTTGAAAATTGACTCCCTGGGACATCTTTGCAGGAGACATCAAGGGTCTCCATTTAAATTTAATGAATATTATGTACTTTGCCAAGGACTTCTACAATGCATTCAGAAAATCTGCTGCTCTGAGGCCGGGCCTTTGTCAAAATCATGGGAGCTTAATGGCATCCTTTAAAGTAGCTGCTGAATTTCCAGCTAGGAGTATTTTCTGTTTCCTAATAAAATGTTTTCCCCATTAAAGCAGCTTATTTCTTTAATTTATAATTCATATTATTAATATTTTATTAACATAGCAAAATATAAGCATATTTAATTGTCAATGACTTAGTACTTTTTTTTAAGGAACACTGAAGCACAAAATGCAAAATGCCAGGGTTTTTTAAGAGAGAAGTCTTGCCATGTCATGGCAGTTGCATTTGGATAAGCATTTTCTAATACACCATTTGTGAGGAGTTTTTACATGCTGCTTTAAACTAAACCATTAAACATGTATAATAAGAAACTATTTAAAGTGTTCAGGCATTTATAGTTTTAATTCCTGTATAGATATGTGCTCCGATATTTTATAGTTATGATTTGAAAGCTACCACAATTACGTATTTTAAATTTTAAGGTAGTATTGTGATATCCCACATTATTTTTTTCCAAAATATACAGAGCCAAAGTGTCTGATATACTTTTTTGTGTATTGCAGAAGTTAAAAATGAGCTCTGGGAAAATTAAGGTTTTCCTAAAAAATTGTACAAGCCTATGTGTTGAATTGCAGGGCAACTAAACTTGGATATGTATCTTCAGGCACTTCTTTATCCAACAGACTAGCATCAAATTTGCTTTCTT